ATTTAAATTGAGGTGTGAAAGGATCTAAGAGCATATCTGGGCAGGCCTCTTCGGTTGCAAGTGTGGGCATCGAGGCCGAGAGATACTATAGAACTCGCTTGAGCTCCCACAGCAGAAGGGAGGGGGAAAGATGGGGCCAGGATGGAGGTGAGTAGGCTCTGGGGTCTTTGTTTTTATTCTTGGTCTATTGCCCAAACTATTTAAAGTGACACCTAAGCTACACTGATGTCAAGCAGCATGTTCTAATTACTCCCAACTTTATGTTCCTAGCCAGAGGACGCTGGGATGGCCGAGAAGCTATCTTTCTGTTTGGCACCAAATGCGCGGAGCCTAGCAGAGTGTCCGGCACATACTAGGGATTCACTGAATATTTGTTGAGTGGATGAATGAACAGACTTAGTCACGGCTCACAAATAAAAGGAAAGACATTGCTAGTTAGTCATACCAGAGGCATCTGTGTTCGGGTATTATCACCTCCTTCAAAAACACATGGAGGAAAATAGAACAGCTTAGGCTTTGAAGAATGTTTTTCTGCTTTAAAAACAATCGACATTTTTGTGTGATATTTTTAGTTCTCATTTGAACCAAAGCAAATGAAGAAAGAGTCTACACATGTTTGACTTTTCTTATATGAATCCCCTGATCATCTGAGAAATGTGAGGAGAGTATTCTGGACTTGGCAAAAAGCAAACGTGACTCACAACTGAGAGTGTCCAATCTAGGTATTTTGCTCAGAGCAAACTCCGCTGCACACTTAGAAACCCTTCCGAACACGTTTTATAATTGAATTCTGCAGGAAACCCTCACAATTGGCATTGTGCACAACATGCTGAAATGACAGATTATATCCCCAGGGCTCGGGGCATCTGTCACTTATGCTTTAGATGGCCTTGACCTTGATGAGGAGGAAACATTTATCGCAGACTGTAGGGTGTGGTTGTTCTGTAAAAATAGGACAGTGCTGCAAATGGCCATTAATAAAGTTTATATACAGTCCGTGAATTCTGATATGCAGTAGACATGGAGAATTTTGAATATTACCTTTCAGCTGAAGTCAGAATATATTAAACACAGAATTTTAAACTCACCTTATTTTTAAAAAGATTTTTGGTATTTCTCCCCTCACCTTCCTTCCTTCCTTTCTCCTTCCCTTTCTTTTTTCTTCCAAATAATTTACAATTGAATACTTTTTAAAGCACTGGGATATATTCTGTCATTCTCTACCTTGTCCCACCCCTACCTTCAAACAGAACCAAATGCGTTTGTTCCAAAGGTGTTGAGTTTTCCGTTCACTCTTACTAAATTGGGTTGCCTAATTAAGTCCCCTAAAACCACTGCCCAGGTTTCTGCTGTTGAGTTGCCCCAGATGTTCCTCTCTTCTCTCACCCATAGAGTATTCTGAAGGGGAATCACTCTTTTACATCGTGAGTCCAAGAGATGTCGTGGTAGCGAAGGAACGAGACCAAGATGACCACATTGACTGGCTCCTGGAAAAGAAGAAATATGAAGTAGTTTTGATTTTACTTTCTTGAAAATATTGACACATCTGTAGCATAGAAGATAAAAGGTTTTTGTGATAAATCTTTCATGTAGGTGAATTAGAATGCCCTACGCTAGCCAGGACCGATTTGGCTCAGTGGATAGAGTGTTGGCCTGTGGACTGAAGGGTCCCGGGTTCGATTCCGGTCAAGGGCATGTGCCTTGGTTGCGGGCACATCCCCAGTCGGGGGCGTGCAGGAGGCAGCTGATTGATGTTTCTCTCTCATCGATGTTTCTGGCTCTCTATCCCTCTCCCTTCCTCTCTGTAAAAAAATTAGTAAAATATATATTTTTTAAAAATGTTGATAATGCTCTAAAAAAGGAAAAAGAATGCCCTACGCTAGAAAATATGTTGGAGGCTAATAACTTTCCAATATTCTTTTTTAGAAATGTTTTTGGGAAAAGATCACAAGGAGGCTAACTAGCTTTACTGTTCAATAGAAGAGGAGTTGGTAGTGGAGGGAGGAAAGGGCTTCCATCCAGCCTGTTGAAGTGTTTATTTTGTGCTTATTCAAGAGGAATAAAATAGAGCTAGTATTTTAGAATTGTCTGTTTGGATGTTTTCGTGGAATCATTCCTTTGGTGCTTATTTCATATATAAAAGTAAAGCTGCCAAATTCTCACTTAGGATGGTTGAACTACCCATTCAGATGGAAAGATGCCCACTTCATTGAGTTCAGATTAATTTTAATAGATAAGAAAAGAAAACATGTTTTAACCTCAGTAACCATAATCTATTTATATGTTGCTTTAAGTTTGTAACCACCTGAAAGGATTCGGGGAAAAATTTTTTAACTTATAAACTATTCAGAGTTCAGGCATTGATACTAAGTTCATACCATACTGCCTTTAGCTCCAGTAGTTTCTTAAAGAAATAATTCTGTGTTTTAAACATTTGTGTTAAAGTAATAATTACAAACTTTACAGAATAAAAATCAAATCAGAGATTTTCAAAATGTTATTTGTATATATACCTAAACATATGAATATAGTTTACTTTTTATGTTTCGTAAAGGAAAAGCGTTCCTTTGTCAATGTAACTCATACAGATTTAGAATGACAGATGACTTTTTTTGTTTGAACCTGGGAGCTTTAATTATATTTTGATTTCTGTCTGCAAAGTAATTCTAATATCCTAATGTGGAAATGAATTCAGCTGGAAATAAGAGCAGTCTGCATTTTGGTTGGCTGGTTTTGTTTGAGTGTGAATGCAATGAGGTTCATTCAACCATAGCATTAGCAATTCCTGTGCTTGAAGCAAAAGCTGCAGGAAAATGGGGCTTTATTTATGTAGTGTAGAACTCTAAAACATAATAAATAGAGTGCCTATAACCTCCTGTCTTTCTCTCTCCCATTTTTCCTCCTCCTTTTATCATGCTCATGTAAATATAGGAAGCTTTGATGGCAGCTGAAATTAGCCAAAAGAACATTAAAAGACATAAGATTCTGGTAAGTGTGTAATTTTATTATTTGAAATATAGCTTTACCTTTCAATAAGTTATAATGAAACTGAAAGTAATTTTAAAAGAACTGATTCTTCCTGCCTTTTGAGAATTTATTTCAAACTAATTCTCCAACCTGTAAGATCAAAATATTTCATTTTATTGAATCAGTTTCTGCTTGTAAACAAGAGACTTGAACACCTGCTAGGAGGTAGTTTTAGGTAATTTGGAAACTGGATTTATGAAATACACTTTAAATACAAAGCTTTCCAGTTATGTGTGGTGAGATTTCTTTAAATCATAGGTAAAATCACATTATCACAAAATGTATCAAGAGTAGTTTTATGAAAGTGGATTGCTTCAGTGTTTCCATAATAACAGACTCAATTGATTTTGTTATGGAGACTAATCTAGGACATCAAATACATTTTTATTACATTTGGACTCTGGAAAAATATAGTGACTGAAAGCCTATTTCTTTGCTAACTGTGACAGTGAATGTGCAGAGGGAAAGCAGAAAATAAACCTCCTTCTCCTCTGAGTGTGAAGGGTCCCTAGAGACCATCCAGCCCAGGACTCTTGTTTACAGCTGAAGGCTGGAAACTTAGTCTTTTATGGCTACTTGGTTTCAGCACAAATTCCTTTTGCCTATACTTTCGCTACCTTAAACTTCTCTGTAAAACTTCACATAAAGGCCTAATTCTCAAGAATGTACAAGCAAAATAATTCAGGAACTAAACAGAGAAAGAACCAGAGCATCTTTTTATTTATTTACTTTTATTCAAAATTGTGGAGAATAGGCAGGGATTCTCTAGAAATGAAGCAGCAGGTGATCCAGCCAATAATATATGTGATGGTGCAGAGTCGTGAAACTGCTTGGCCCGCTGGGTTCTGTGGAGCAGTGAGGAGTTTGTACATCAGGAGAGTCTGATTCTGAAGGGCCATGTGGAATTAGGAGCTTGACTCTGTCTTGGAATCTCTAGAAGATAGGTTGAGCTTGCAGTGCCGCATCCATCATATTTGCTTGTTAGAAAGAGTCTGATGGAGATGGGAATCAATGAGGTATGATTCCCTTCTTGGTGTGGAGGTGGAAGTGATGAGACCTGCAGAGTTGATAGGAGTGGAGTGGTGAAGATAGATGGAAGACATGGTCAACTAGACTCGGGTTTGGTGACCGGCTCTGTGTGCATAGGGAAGTGAGACCGAGAAATCTAGGCTGACTCCCAGGCTTTGGGCTTGGGCCTCTGGTGGATGGTGATGCCATTCAGAGAGGGAGAGGGGGAGAGAGAGAGAGAGAGAGAGAGAGAGAGAGAGAGAGAGAGAGAGAGAGAGAGAGTTGGGGAGAGAGAGTGAAAGACAGAGAGAGAGAGAAGGAGGGAAGAGAAGAAGAAGATGATGAAGAAATGGAGAAGAAATGAGAGAAAGAGAAGAAGAGGAGAGGGAAGGAGAGAGGAGAAGAGAAGGGGAGAGGGAAGGAGAGCGAAGAAGAGAACAGGGGGAGAGAAGGAGACTGTTTAAGGAAGAGTAGGATCAGGTGTGTGTTGGGGTGGGGGGTGAAGTTCGATTTAGACACATTGAGTTTTTGTCTCCTATGGAACATAGTGGAGCTCAAGAAAGATATCCAGACTCAGAAATAGATTCGAGAGAGTCATCAGCAAACAAGTGACTATATGTGTTTGGACCAATCCACAAAGGGCAAGTGTCTAGCATTAGAGAACAAAGGACCACGAATGGAACTATTGGGCACACTCACGTTCAAGGGATTATGCATACAAACAGAATTGAAACAGCCAGAGGAAGGTTGTGTCATGGGAGCTGAGAAAGGAGAGAATTTCAGGGTAAAGAGAGTTAAATGCTTAAATGGTTGAGGTTAGCAGGCCAAAAGTAAGACTAGCTCAGCTAGTTAGTTGTACATTTGGTTTAGTAATAGGAAGGTTACTAGCGAATTTTATGTATATGTTTGATTTATTCTCAACATGTTCTAGGGAGTGAACAGTGAATAGGAGATTATGAAGTAAACTTAAATGTAGACTAGTTTTGAAGTTGAAAAGAGTGAAGATTGTGGTTGGGGGCTATGGCATCATGGGAATGTTGGTGGTGCTGGTGAATATTTTGTGAAAGAGAGACACTTAACATGCTTATGTTAGGAAAAGAGACAAAATTGGGTTGAAGTTCAAGGTGTACAGAGAAAGAGGGTGAGTGGCAGAATCAACTCCACATGGAGAGGGGGCATGGCATGAGAAGAAAGGTTGCAGAAACGGGACTGCACAGGAGACATTCTCTGCTTTGAACCTGGGCAGACTCCACTGATAGTGTGATATGTGGTCTGTTTTCAGAGACATAAATGTAAGCACCCTTTCTTCACTCTGTAGTTCCTATAGATTTGAAATATGATTCCCTGCATAGTAGTCATTAAAGTAAAAATATAATAAACTAAGAACTATGGGTAGTTCCCTTCACTCTTGGAATGGGCATGTCCTATGCATTGATTATGGATGGACTTTTCCTCCTGGCACAACATAATTTTATAACGAGGCAGGCAGAGAGAGAAATGAGCTCCTGCCAATTTTGTCATCAAGGGAGAAAGTCCGTAAAAACTTCTTTGTACATAAAGTAGAACTTAAAGTCCAAGTTGCGATATATATGCTGAGTTTAAGCTTCTCATGAAAATGCTTTTGGGTGAAAATAATATTTCAGAAGAAGAGTTGTGGGATGGTCAAGCGAGAGCCACAGGCCACCCCAAACCCTTCCAGAACCGAGGTAGAGTAAGTAAATAGACATGAGTACTCTGAATCCAGTAGGCCCAGTTTCCTCATCTGTAAACTTCTGGGTTTGAATTACATATTTTTTCTGGGCTTAGTTTCACTTTAACATACCTTTAATATTTCCCTTTAATATGATGTCCTGTCCTTTTGTTTTACTTACAACTCAGACTTGACATAGACAGGTGGCTCACATTTTACAGATGAAAGCTCATTGTGAATTTGAAAATTTGTGAAAATACAAGTGTATTTAAATATGATTAGGAAGGGAATGAGTATAATTACAGGAATATGCTTAAGGAAAAAAGAGCATAATTACATAAAGCATACTAAGCCGTATAAATAGGTTCCAGTCAGTAGTGCTAATAGGACCGTAATGTCATGGCTTCTTCGGAAATAGACTCAGCTTTTTCGTTGTTCCATTTAATTATGAAATTCATTAATTTTCTCTAGGACATCGGCTTGGCATATATAAACCACCTGGTGGAAAAAGGAGAGTATGACATAGCAGCACGGTAATAATGACATTTCCTTGCTAATATAAATAGAATTGATCAATGTTAGCAGTAAAAATAAACCATTCTCTGCAGTGGACAGATGTTTTTATTTAACCTTTCTAACGGGTAATTTTTGACTATTCATGATTTTAACCACAGCACAGATATATGTATATGTGTGTGTGTATGTATGTGTATATATATATAAACACCTACTATCTGCTTTTTACCAAACAAATATTTTTCTCATTAATGATAAAGGTGTCAAAAACCATGAAGAGTCTGAGATTTTATCCTTTTTATAAGCTAACAAGTTAGCCTGTCACAGTTTCAGGGGTGTCTTAGCAATAGCAGTAGCCAAACACCAGCACTTGTGCCCGGTCCCACAGCACTGCACAGAGGGCCAGGTGACCCTCCACAGCCACTGGACTGTGTTACAGGACAGGGACTCTGAACTTAGGGTGCCTGATTCTCTTATAATGGGCGGTAAGCTTGCCTTCCCTTGGCCTCGGAGGAAGATGTTACTTCTATTATACTGGACAGGAAACAAACCTCTCCTTTGCTCCGGAGGGAAGCACTGTTTGGGTCCTGTAATTTTCAGGGCTCTTCACTTAACCAGTATCCTTGAGAAAAAGATCATGTAGAATAAAGACAGTCAGTGCCTCTGCTTGCAATTCAGTCAGAGTTGTCTCTCAACAAGATGGTGGCAATTAAATGGAAATGATCAGACTGCAGGCTCCTGGTTTGCCGGGGTCTGTGGTAGGCAGAAAACGTACCTATGGTGGTATGGGTGTGTCAGTGAATGGCTTTGCCTGCAGCTATGTGGTGCCTGTACATGGCTGACCGCAAGATAGCCTTCAGGCCTACTTTTCCTCCCCTGGGATTTAGGGAAATATGCTTCTTCCATGTGCAAATTGAGTAAAGTTTTATTCTCCAGATTATATACTATACTGTGGTAGGATTCTAATTTTCTCAAGTCTAATTTTTGTTGTCCATTATTTAAAGCCATTCAAGAAGTGGTTTAACCCCTAGAGTGCCAGGGAGCACAATCACGCTCCTCCTGTCTTTCTCCAAAAGCGCCCGGAGTGCGATTGCGCTCCTCCTGCAGTGTCCAGCTCTAAGTCTGCTTTTATTAGTGATGATGATATTGCTAAATACGTCAATTCTTGCTGTGAAGATGACGATTTTGTGGAAGATATTGAATATGTAACTTCATTTACTTGCGATTGATAATTTTTTTCCTAAACTGCTGTAAAATCAGCAAGAATGCCTTGGCAATTTTAGCATAGTTCCTAGGATATTGGTTGTCACTCAGAGGGTTAAATTGGCACTTTGGGGTGTGATGACATTTCTTCAAGGCAGGACAGGTCCCCAGATCAGCGGTGCTCATCTGGATAAATAGGAAACTCAGAACCAGAAAGTCATGAGAAAAACCCCTCATTGTATGTAGTCTTCTGAAAGGTATTCATCTTTATTTATAAGTATTTTGTATTTTTATGATTTTCATCAACCTTGTATATACAAACAAGTGAGCACCAGTGCCACTTGAGATAGAATTTTGTCAAAACTCTGAGATGAGAGATTAATTTAAAACATGAGGGGAAATGTCTACTTACTCTGTCTCTGTTTGTTTCTTTTTGCTACCAGCAAATGCCAGAAAATTCTTGGGAAAAATGCAGCACTCTGGGAATATGAAGTTTATAAATTTAAAGAAATTGGACAGCTTAAGGTAAGCCTAACTTTATTTTTAACTCTTAATTTTTTTGTGTAGTATATTAATATAGGTATGCCTCGGAGATATTGTGGGTTAGGTTTCAGACCAATGCAATAAAGCAAATATCTCAATAAAGTGAGTCACATTTATTTCCCAGTGCATACAAAAGTTGTTTATACTATACTGTAGTTTATTAAATGTGGAAATAGCATTATATCTAAAAAAAAAAAATATCAGTACACATACCTTAATTAAAAAATACTTTATTGCTAAAAAAAAAAATGCCAATCATCATCTGAGTCTGTTGGAAAAATGGTTTCAATTGAGTTGCTCCATGCAGGATTGCTACAAACCTTCAGTTTGTATTTAAAAAAGTGCAATGTCTGTGAAGTGCTATAAAGCAAAGTGCAATAAAACAAGGTATGTCTTTATTGAGATGGAAATAAAATTAAGACAATAATAGTCACTAATTTATTAGGAAGTGAGTATTAGCTCAGCTAGGAAGAAAAATCAAACTTTCAGAAATTAGTTTAAAACTTAGTTTATATATTATATGTATAAAAATTTACATATATAATATAGTACATAAATGATGTGTTCACTTTCTTATCCCCTTCCAGTTCTATGTTCAGATGAAGTTTTCATATTCCTTCCTTTTTAAATTTTTATTGATTGATTTTAGAGAGGAGCGGGGAGAGAAAGAAATTCGTTGTTCCACTTATTTACGCATCCATTGATTGCTTCTGGTATGTGCCCTGACTTGGGATTGAACCTTCAACTATGGCATATCAGGATGACTCTAACCAACTGAACCAGAGCTAGTCATGTTTCTTTAGTGTGGTTTTTGTGGTTTAATCTTCACCTGAGGTTATGTTTTTAGAAAGAGGAAGGAGGGAGAGAGAATGAGAGAAACATCAATAAGAGAGAGAAGCATCCACTGATTGCATCCTGTATGGGCCCTCCCTGGGATTGAACCCAAAATTGAGGTATGTGCCCTGACAGGTAATTGAACCCACAACCTTTTGGTGCACAGGGTGATGCTCCAGCCAACTAAGCCACCTGGCCAGGCTGGTCATGTTCTTTTTAATGGATGTGGAAAATAGGTATTATCTCATCCAGTAGATTTTAAAACACGAGAGTGTTTTCTGTTTGTTTGTTTTTCAAGTTTACTAAAGATTAATGCTTTTTAAAATAATATGTTACTTACTGTAAAATAAATGGAAAAGTTTGACTCTAGCTCTAACAAATAATTTTGATACTTCATTTTTTAATCTTTTTTTTTTATTGTATTTTGTTAATCCTCACCCAAGGATATTTTTTCCATTGATTTTTAGAGAGAATGGGATGTAAGGGAGGGAGAAAGGATGGGGGGAGGAGATAGATAGATAGATAGATAGATAGATAGATAGATGATAGATAGAGAAAGGGAGAGAAAGAGAGAAAAACATCGATGGGAGAGAGACACATCGATTGGTTGCCTCCTACAGGTGCTGCAATCTGGGCAGGGGATTGAATATGCAATCCAGGTACATGCCCTTGACCAGGAATGGAACCTGCAACCCTCCTGTGTGGGGGGCTATGCTCTAACCAGTTAGCAACACCAGCCAGGGCCATTTTTTTTAAATCTTTCAACTTGGTGCACAATGACCAAATCAATAAAGTATTCCTATATTTGTTTATAGAAAAAAAACCTTTAACATATGTGGGGGCCTTTTCAGTGGTCTCTTAGTATTATGAATATTCTTTTAAAAATTCCCAGTTACTCAGCTGGTCATCCCCATATGTGTTCTCGTCCCTGGGAAACCCCCAAGGACACTGCTCCTCATGTTTATTGGGCTGCTTCTGGAGTGTGTTATCCAGTCCCGTGGCCATGTTTACCCAGTGGCTCCATAACCTAGACTTCTCTTTTGAATATGTTATCTATGTTAGAAGTGTGTGGTAGCCATTTTTTACTGTATATATTATTGATAAGGATCGCTTGAATTAATGTGACTCCATTTTCTTCCCAAATTGGGTCATTCTCCTTTCCATCTGTGTTTATGACATCCCATTATACCCATTCCTCCCTGCTTAGTAGCTCAGCGCCACCGTTTTGATGTGAACTCCTAACTCTCCTTATTCTACTTAAATCTCCAATTCTTGTCAGTTTTACCCTGTGAGTATCAGTAGTGCCTCTCCCTTTCCTTCTGGTACTGCTGCCTTAACTCTTGATAGATCTACCAGCAACCCTGGCCCAGAGTGAGCTGTTTAAAAAATCAGTGTGCCGCTCTCAGTCCCCCATGCCTATTGTTTGCCTCTGCCCACAAGGTAAGATCTGAACTCCTTTCGTGACCCGCCTCCCCTTCCTCTCCAGCCTCTTCTCCCTTCAGTGGCCGCATTTCACATCTGTGACCTCCCTGAATGCAGAGTATGCTTTCATGGCCCTACGCCTGTGCTCATGCTGAGCCTCCTTTTAATATCATTTCGGTGATCTTCTCCCTCTTGCTATTTAGGTTTTCATTAATTCAACAGAAAGAACAGAGTTGTGCAGGTTAACCTAGGCAATTTTTATTCATTCATTCAAGCATACATATCCCTCATAGATACATTAAAAAATTATAATGTGATATAAGAAAATAGAATTCATTTGAATTTTTCCTCCTTATAATAATTTCCCGAAGTATTTTGTTGCCTTAAATTTTAAAATTGAAAATATACTTTCATGCTTTCTGCATAATTTGAGTATAGTTTGGTTTTACCACTTTTTAAAGATTTTCGTTATTTGTTTTTACCTTTTGCTTCCCTAGGCCATTAGTCCTTATTTGCCAAGAGGGGATCCAGTTCTGAAACCACTCATTTATGAAATGATCTTACACGAATTTTTGGAAAGCGATTATGAGGTATGGCATTCAGGCATGGCCATATTTACTTGTTCTCAATGGAAAATGTTAAGAATTTGAGAAAAATAATATAATGGAGCAACTGGTTTAAAGTTAACTGATTTGCAGTGTGTGTGTGTTAGATGAAACTAGATAGATAAACTCTAATGACTACTAATGTTAATGATGTAGATGGTGATAATCTCTAATCCATGCAAATTTTGGAGAATTTCTTTAAGTTACCGCCTTAATAGAAAAAGGGACTCTGTGCCATTTGAAGATTTCACAAATGGAATAGCAGCTGCTATTGCTGTTTATAATCCCCCTTAAGAAATCAGAACTTTCTGACATGTAAGACACAGAACTAAGTTTGCCAGAAGAGAATTAAAGAGAAACTGAGGGAGTAGGAATGGAACAAAGAATTGGAAATGATCTGTTTGCTTATTGATTAAGAGAAAGGCAGTACGAAAGTTGATTATCGACTATATACTGCACTTTTACATGCAAATTGTGATGTTATACTCCCAACAACACTATACACAGTAATTCCAATTTTACAGATGAGGAAACTAAAAAATGAAGAAATTAACTCACTCGCCCAAGACCATAACATTTAAAAAATAGCATGCCAAATTGTAGTTAAAGTTTGCAGTTTGCATGCACCCAAAATGGATTACAATTTTTAAAGTTTGTTAATTTAACACGCATTTATTCTGAAAGTATCTGTTTAGTGCCTACTCCATTCCAGGACTGTGCTAGGCACCAGCATACAAGTGTGAATGAGATGATGATTCTCAGCAGTCACTCGTGGTCTGAGTCACAGCGAGCATGTAAACCAGTGGTTCTCGATACAGGGGCTGTTTTTGTCCTGGAGACGGGTTTGTGCTCCTGTCATTGAGTGGGCAGAGGCCAGCAGGAACGCTGTTAAACGTCTCACATGCACACGATAGGCCCCCCCACAGAGAATGACCTGTCCTCAGATGTCAGTCAACTGCAGTCATGCTCCTCTGTGGGAAGGTTGCAGTTTGGATGGGAATGTGTAGCCTGTTGCTGTAGTGTCTTCCCATCCTTCCTGAGGGTCACTAGAGGAGAAAGTGGGTAGGCCTTTAATGGAGACTCTATTCCTGATTCTTCTGTGATTTTCTTCTTACCAAATCCTGGTACTTTACAGAAGCAGGTTGTACCCTACAATTTTTATTTCTCAATATCATTTAAACAAATTCAAAGTAGTTTATTAAAGCATTGGTTGAGTTATTTAATATTAATATGATTTTTTTCAATAATATGAAAAGTTTTACTTTAATTTGCTGTGTTTTTCCTAAAAGTTGTTAAGGATCAGTGAGCTGCTGTACTGTACTGAGTTACAAAGCCTGAGGGCTGAAGTCGGGGATCAGGAGGGCAGAGGCTGCCCAGGATCCAGGCCAAGAATCAGCCATGGGAGAGAAACAGGATCCAATAATCTGGGGTTTCTATCAGAACCACAAAATCTGAGATCAAGTGATAGTCAGGGTAAGAGCCAGGGGATAAAATTTGAACCAAAGTCCCAAATTCCCAAACGAAACCAGGTTTAGAGGCGGAGTGGAAGGAGGACAAAGCGGGTAACTTGCTGAAGGATGCTGGGCGATTCCCCTGTGGGACAAGCCACGGTGAGCGTTGTGCTGGCTGTGCAGCCCAGACCTAGCGTGCGTGAGAGGCAGTGGGTGAGGCGCTGACCTGACAGTGTCTGTAGGATGTTAACGATGTCATCCGCATGTGGTAGTTGGTCCAGAATGAGGACAGAGCAAGGCAAACCTACATTCTCTGTGCAGTGATGCTTCACTGAAGGACCAGAGGGCATTTGTTATTTGTGTGTTTCATCAAGTAAGAGTAGAAGTGGATGACACCACCTACGTCCCAGGAATGGTAAATAGTGATTAGGGTGCAGTAATTCTGTCTCCCGTGTGCACCCCCAAACCCATAGTCTGAAAATTGATGTGTTTATGGACCAACGTTTTCATCATAAAACTATTTTGTCTGTTTACGTGAGTACTTTTAGGCATGTCTAGACTATTTAGATCGTGATCCTATTCAGAGAGTGTTCCTCCTTTCCCCCGTGCGTTAGGGCTTTGCCACGCTGGTCCGGGAATGGCCCGGAGATCTGTACAACAATTCGGTAATAGTTCAGGCAGTTCGGGAGCACCTGAAGAAGGACAGTCAGAACCGGACCTTACTTCAGACCCTGGCAGAATTGTGAGTATGATTTAGTGCTGCCTTTCCAATTCCGTCTACATGGGAAGTTTTTCATATTTTAGGTCGGCAAACTCTGAGTAGGGAGGACACAGAGAAGGGAAGGGAAGGGAGCCCTTTATACCATTTTTCTATATTCCCTCTTAGTGAAAACCTTTCATGAACCTTCAGTGAACAACTACGAGGTAAGAAAAATGTGTGCAATTGTAACGCAATCTGTTTCCCAGAGGAGAAGAGCCCTGGTTAGCAGCACTTAGTAGAGGCTGTGGTTCAGGGAGGGAAGGGTGCTGCGTCTGAGATTACGTAGGCAAAATGGTTCCCCCATGAGGCTGTGGATTCTGTCATTCTTGGTTCTCTAGTCGGTAAGTCTCTCAGACCTTAGACTCCTTATCTGTAAGGTTGCAGGTAACAATTCCTTAGGGGATGGTTTTAAGACTTAAGTGAGATGTCATAGTCAAGAACTAAGTTCAGTACCTAGCGTTGACGTAGGGCGCAGTAAATGGAATCTGGGTTACGTTTCATATTTATTGGCTACTTTTACAAAGCGGCCCAGGTTCTGTGCTATATGCCTGTGATAGAGAGATAGATGAGGCACACCCGTGCCCTCACAGAGCTTTGGTCTAGTGCAGCGGTCGCCCACTGGTGGTCCGCGGACCACTGGTGGTCCATGAGGTCTGAAAGGTTGGCGACCGCTGGTCTAGTGAACAAGAAGCAAACTGCAGGTAATCTCAGGAAGACTCTTCCTGCTTCAGACCCTCCTTGGCACTCCCACCACTTCCTTGCCCATCTTACATCTTTTACCAAGACCCAGAAAGGTCTTGGCATAGAGGGAGTTGTGTTTGTGGCATTCATCATTTTCCTCTGGGAACATGGTTGTGGACATTCCTTAGGTTCTGTAGTACTAACAACATACCAATGATGCTAGTAATTCTGTAGTAGTAATGCTGGACACACAGTGCAGTTTAGGTGCAGTTGGCTTTTTCAGGAGCCAGCATAGGGAGTTAAGCAATGTGAAAACCATTGTTTTAACAGAAGAACACATTGCATGTTATACAGCTCCCTTATAAATAAGCTTTTGGAATGTCATTATTTATCAGCTGAAGACTTTATAAAAATTTGAACTGATTTTTCTACTACTAAAATAAGCATTTCCTTCATTTGGATAATAGGGTGTTTTTTTTGTCTGATATGTGGATTTCTATTTTAAAAAATTGAGAATTTCTATAAGAAAATTTTGTTGAATACTGTAAATTTTCTAAAATGTTGGCAAGGTTGTGAGAAAAAAATATTTATTGATCATGTGTAGTTAAATCCCAAGGCATGGTTTCCAAAAAAAGTTAACTTTCCTCTCTAAACCTGTTTTTCATTTTTTAATATTGTAAAACATGATTTTTATATGAGTATGTGTGTTTAAGTGGAAGTATTGATGAACATTAATGTAAAACATTTTTATTACCAGGTACACCTACGATAAAAACTATGGCAATGCTCTGGAAATATACTTAACATTAAGACATAAGGATGTTTTCCAGTTGATTCACAAGCATAATCTATTCAGCTCTATCAAGGATAAAATTGTTTTGCTAATGGATTTTGATTCTGAGGTAATGTTTTTTATTTTAATACTGATAATTTATTTTTACTCCTCCAAATTTTTAGTAACTAGACATCTATCCAAATGCTAGCGTCGTTAATAAATCACCAGCTTGGCTGTATGCTGATCGTGTTCAGAGCGCTCTGACTGTCTCTATATGTTAGGCATTTTAGAAGTTGGCATTCAGAAACCCTTTATTTGATGTGGTTTTTCTGTGAAAGCAATCATAATTTGATGAAAACTTCTGAAATTGGGTGTGAAGTAAATTTTTAGTAAAACAGGTTACATAATTCATAGAAACAAAGAAACTATATGCTTTGACTCATTCAATCCTCTTAATTGTATGTTCCAGAATTAAAATTTTCAGTAAAGTTTTATTTTGATCTATTTATTGTAGCTTTATTCCTTGGTATTTACAGATTTAGCTTGTGGAGTGTCCACTGGCCTCAGATGATGCTGAGGTCCAGGACATGTGGGATGTGTTACTTTATTGTAAGATAAATCTGAATAGTGGATTGCTTGACTAATGATCGCACCCAGCCTCTACAGCTCACAGTGGCTCTTGTAAAGTGATACAAACTGTGTGTGTTTGTGTGTGTGTATGTGTATGTGTGTGTGTGTATAAAAGAAAGCTAATGACAAGTTCTAGTGATTGAAATAAAGAGGTTCATAAACACAGTAGTTTTTATTCAGAAAATTGAAAATTTTGATAAATCAAACAGGAGAACATTAAGGATCCGAAAGGTTTGCTTGGATTTTTTTCAATTTTATTTTGAAATGTAATGTATTTAAGGGTATTATATGCTATATTATGTATGTTTGTATTTATATATATATGTTATACATATTATGTGCTATTTATTAGTCTTCACAAACTTAAACTTAATTTAAATAGGAGGTAAATATACTTGTTTTTGAAAGATGATTTTAGCCCATTTTTCATTCTGAATGAATCAAGTCTTTAGGGACTGCAGATCTAAAAAGAATCAGTGCAGTTCCCAGAAATTCAGGTATAGAGGTTCTGCTTCTCTGGCAGAAATAATTAAGAGGATGAGGTGCTTACATAAAAAATATTACATTTGCCCATGTCCTTATGCCTCTTCATTCACCCATCCATGTGTCTCAAGAATCTAGTTTTGCAAATGTAGATATAGAAAAAAAAATGAATGAGCTGAAACGAATTGCTATTCAAGAGCGTGAACCAAAATTAAGGAATCATAGAATTTTCTAATTATAACATACCTGAAGGATAATCTCCAAATATCCTCATATTTCAGAAGAAAAAAACTGTCTGGAGCAGACAGGTAGGGAGTAGCAGAGGCAAGAACAGGTCCTGGTATTCTGAGGCTCAGTCTCGTGGGTCGTGGGGTCTTGTTGCAAACACTGTCTAATTTGTGTTTTGTGACTTTCAAAGGCAGTTAAAGTGAATTGTAAAAGTCCATAAGCCTTATGTCATTTTCAGAGTGCAGGTATCTTACTTTTTCTGGCTCTTATCCTCTTCTCCACATAAGACCAGTTCCTCACATCTGTGAGATCTGTACAGGGACTTGGTCAATTATCAGGCAGCCAGAAGAAAAGCTCATTTCTGTGGTGCTGGGAACAGTACTTTCTCCATAACGACTGAGAGTCCCATGAGAACTTCTGAAGATACCTGAGGGGTCAAGGAGGCTATAAGATGTGTGTAAAGAAATTTTGTATTTGGTGAGTGGTAACAAGATACCATTTCAGGAGTATGCAGAACACATAGACTTCAGGTTGAGGCCCATTTTAAAATGCATTCTTTTATAAATATATCACTTAACGGTGATTGTAAGGCTAAGGACCTCCTTATGTACGGCAAATAAGCCTTCTCCCTTTAACTGACAGCAAACACTATACATGTGTTCAGAGTTCTCTTCTTATCTGGCGAATTTCAATGACTGTGGCTTTTTTTTTAATTTCAGAAAGCTGTTGACATGCTTTTGGACAATGAAGATAAAATTTCAGTAAGTGTCTTTTATTTTATTTGTCTTTTATTTTTTTATATGTTAGCAGGTGAGTGTCTGGGACTGTTGTAACCAAGAAAAGGACAGATGTTTATCAGATAATTTTGCACCTATATTCCTGTCCTCATAACTCTGTGTTTAAAATTTTCCTTTTTCTCCAGATTAAAAAGGTAGTGGAAGAATTAGAAGACAGACCAGAATTACAGCATGTGGTGAGCATAACCATCATCTTCTTTTGCCCTTTAGATTGCGTAGTGGGGCACATCACCTTTCATTACTGGGGAGAGAATCCTGCAGTGAACTCTTCATGTTAATACTCAGATTGCAGGTTTGATGACAAACAGTGTTCTGTAATTATAAATGTTCAGCATGTGCTCCGAATCCAGATTAGGGATTAATTACGGATCAGACACTTTCATTTGACTCACAGTGATTTGTGATTTAAAAAAAGTTATATTTATTTTTGTGTTGATCAAACTGTGCCTGGGAGTAAGCACCTTCCTTCTATCATTGCTGTTTGACATAATTATAGCATAAACTAGAGGCCCAGTGCATGGGTTCGTGCACAGTGGGGTCCCTTGGCCTGGCCTACGCCCTCTTGCAATCCAGGACCCTTCGGGGATGTCAGAGGCCCAGTGCACGGATTCAGCCCGATCCCTGCAGGCCAGGCCAAGGGACCCCACTGGTGCATGAATCCGTGCACCAGGCCTCTAGTATGCATATAAGATCTTTGGTTAATCTCTTTCCACCCTCCCCACTCCCCCCTTCCCTCTGAGATTCATCCGTCTGTTTCATATTTCCATGCCTGTTCATTGAGCATGTGCCCCCTGTTGGTCAGTGTGCATCACAGCTACCAGTCGAACAGTCGCTTAGGCTTTTATATATAGACTAGATGTCCGATGCATGAAATTCATGCAAGAGCCTTGGCCCCAGCCCCTGCCCACCGCCGCCACTACCACGGCCCCTCCCCACCACTGCCACAGCTGGGGGCCCCTGCCACCTCTGCCATGACCCCCGCCTGCTGTGGCTTTGTCCGGAAGGAAGGACGTCTGGTCTAATTAGCATATTGCGCTTTTATTATTATAGATTACAACACCACAGAATGATCGAGGAACAGTCTTTCTTCCCCCTCGCCTGACAGTAATTAATCCCACTTTTCTGGGGTTGTCTTGGTGGTGGTGCTGTTAAGGCCCTCTGTTCTAGATCTTTGGGGAAATATCTTGTTTGTGTGCATTGCTGTCGTCATGGGAGTAAAGGAGGAGTAGGTGTTTGCTCTGTCCTTTAAAAACTGTATAAGAAAAGGTTTCAGTGACAATAGGGATTATTCTGGTAGAGAGTGCTCCTGTATCTTAGCCCACCTTTTTGCACCCCAGGAAGAGGCTCTGGGAATAGAGTATTATAGTTTTGTGTAGATGCTGTTGCTATATTGTTTGTGATTGGAAATCTCAAGATTGTCTGCTGACCCAAGCACGGTGGCACTGTGCTGGCCACCCTGGCATTTGTTTATAAAACAGTGATTTCGGGCCTTCTTGTGCCATGAGGCAGGATTACAGGCGGTGGGTGCCTGTGTGACAGTGTGATTAGTGCAGTGGTGAAATGGTGGCCGATCTCACCCCAAAATGCTCATCTTCCTGTCAGGTAATGGGGGGTCCCTATGCATTTGTTCCGGCCGATGTGACAGAGCCTTCCCTTCCTGCTTATGCCTCTGGGAAACAGCACTGTGTGTCCAGCTCACACGCTGAACCCAGCCGGGGCCAGGGGAGGGCAGTCGCCTGTGTCAGACCGCGTGGAACTCTGTCTGTCTGCTCCCCCTTTCATGCCTTCGGAAGATGCATTGGTCGGGGTTAGGCTCCTTTCCTGACCCTACGCAACAGAGGATGTCAAAGGTCACCTAACTCACAGACTGCCCCAACTTCAGGGGCAGGTGGATGCTCTGTGCTTCTTTTGAACCAGTTTACTAGGGGTGCGGATGCACTTTACATGAATGGTGTGATGCAGTCTTTTAGCCTCCCGTGGGTTATGGGATGTTTGTTTACATTAACTAAACATTGAACATTGATTTCCAATTTCTGTGTGATGTATTGATAGACTTAATCTTGCCTCTGAGTACCAAGTGAATTACTCATTTCCTTTGAAGTCCATTAACTGTTTCAGACAGCTAGGGGAAGTAATCAGTTTTGAAAATTAGTTTAGAATACCTGTTCTCTTCTTGATTTTTAGTTGTTATTTTTATCTTTAATGTCACCAGTACAGGCAGCATATCATTGCAAACACAGACTCTCAATAATCCTTACAGAGGAGATGTAGAAGGTATGAGAATTAATTGAGTGCTTACTGCTCGAATTTTTAAGATCATATTCTTGTCCCATGACTCATCTACCCCCTTTTATATAAAGGCAAGAATTTTTATGATCTAGAAAGACCATTAATCCAGGGTTTTATTTCTGCAGCAAAATAGATGATGATGAAAATATTAACAACTATGGTTGACCCTTGAGCAATGCCAGCGTTAACACACAGAGGTGAAAATCGTGTATAACTTTTGACTCTCCAAAAACTTAACTACAGTCACCCCTCTGTATCCTGGGGCAACTGGCTCCAAGACCCCCTGTGGTTATCAAAGTGTGTACATGCTCAAGCGCCTTTTATAAAATAGCGTAGAATAATGCATACACTCAGCCCTCCACATCATGGTCCCCCAGCTACAGATCAAAAATACTGTGTTTGATCTGTGGTTGGTTGACTCCCCAATGCAAAACCCCGGATACAGAGGGCTGACAGTATATTTATTGAAAAAAATTAACATGTAAGTGGACCCACACAGTTCAAATCCATGTTGTTCAAGGGTCAACTGTACCATCACCAGCACTTCTGTAGTGCTTAGTGTATGCCAGGCAAGGTTCTGGGTGACGTAACTCATTCAAACCTCATAGCAGCCCAATGAGATTTTTGCAGGTAAAGAAACTCGGTCACAGAGCGATGAGTGACTTGCCCACTGGATAGTAAGTGGTAGAGCCAAGTCACTCTGGGCCAGAGAAAGTAAGTCTCCTTGTTCTGGCAAAGATACTTCTCTTTCACATTCCGATTTTGTATTCTTGTAAGCTGCTTTCCCTCAGCCTCACCACGGAAGCTGTTTAGAATAGAAAACGGGGATGTTAAACAGGTATTGCTTTTCTTATTTTAATATTCATGGTTTATCCCCTTGTTCTTTTTAGTATCTGCATAAGCTTTTCAAGAGAGACCATCACAAGGGGCAGCGCTACCATGAAAAACAGATCAGCCTTTATGCTGAATATGATCGACCGAACTTACTTCCGTTTCTCCGAGACAGTACCCATTGCCCCCTCGAGAAGGTAAGTCACAGCCCCCCCTCCCCTCCCCTCACACACTGCGGGTGAAGAAGTTGTCATGGTGGGTGAGCTGCTGGTTATTCTGCTCTTCCTGTCCCTGCTTATCCGTCCCTTTTCCGGGGGAAGACTGTTGCTCTAAGCCAGACGTGGGCAAACTACGGCCCGCGGGCCGGATCTGGCCGTTTGAAATGAATAAAACTAAAAAATAAAAGACTGTACCCTTTTATGTAATGATGTTTAATTTGAATTTATATTAGTTCACACAAACACTCCATCCATGCTTTTGTTCCGGCCCTCCGGTCCAGTTTAAGAACCCATTGTGGCCCTCGAGTCAAAAAGTTTGCCCACCCCTGCTCTAAGCAGTAGGTTTGGCTGGGGCATTCTGATGAGAGGTAGAGATCCTGTTGGATTCGATTTTGGTAAGAAGCCCAAGTGTTTCTGTGCCAGGTTTAATTGGAATAAAGGATTAATCCAGGGCCTAGTCAGCCATAGAGCAGACACTGTGTCAGGAGTCTGAGTCAGTGTACCAGGATCAGCACGGACTCAGAGGCAGCCTGGTGGGGACACAGACTGTCCTGAGCCAGAAGCACTTGCTCCACTCAGGACGCAAGGTTGATAACTCAGGCCCTACACCCTGGCTACCTTAGTCACCTTGAGTGTTTCTGTATTCCTCTCTCACTCTACAGTTCATTTCTCTAGCATACTGCATCCCATTATAATAATTGTAATTATAATTATATTTTAGCCTTTTCTCCAGTATCTTGTAAATTCTTCAAGGATAAGGAGTTTTTCTCACTCATTTTGGTGAACCCACACCTGTTAGACACTTAATGTGTGTTGTATCTTGAGTGAGTGCATAAATAAATACAAACAAGGTTCTAGTGAGGGACGAATAGGAATTAGCAAGTTGTATGTACCTGCAATAAGTAAACAATAAATACTTCCTGTGCAGGTACTAGAAACTGGGCAATCTAAGGCCATAGGTATTGTTTCCCATGATTCTTATAATATCTGGAATGCTATCTAACATGTACAAATGTCTTATTAAATAAATTCAGATGGCGAGGTAAAAAGTACTTTATAACCAGCAGTATGTATCAACAAAACAAAAAAAGTATTTGACCCAGCTTATGTGCACTCACAACCTAGTTTCTTCTTCAGCCCATTATGATTAAATGTATTAGATTTACTATAAACAGTTTTAGCTCAATGAATTTTCAAAATCTGTTGAAAAAAATATCTTGCCTGCATATTAACTTAATTTATCAAAAACTTTAACTTTTTATATTTTGGCCCTAAGACATTTTCTCAAAAAATACATTTGGAAATACATCGTCTTATTCTAAAAGTAAAAGCAACTGTTCTCCCTCTTTTCCAACTACAGAATCTATAATCTAGAAAAAGCTGGGACATGCAAAGTTTGTAGATCTTCATTAAAGAAATTTAAAGACAAAATTAGATAAACTATGACAGACTCAAGGCTAGGTAGAAATCATTATTTAATTTATTATTGATAAAGTTCTTGTTAGTTACCCCAAACTGTGTTTCTTACCATTGTACTACATCAGGAAAAGGAAAATTAAAATATTTTTGCAACATTTTTTACTCAATTTCTGTCATTCCTTTTACCTTTATTTTTACTACTACCAGTATTCCACTTTTACCAGTATGCCCTATTAGCTTTAAAAAAAAATCTTAGTTTCCATACTCTTTCCTCTAGAGGGAGCACTATGGCCCAGGAACATTCAAGAATCTAAAATAAGGAGGCATGATTTTATATTGCACTGTGTCAAGAATAGAAAAATTATTTGAACCAGAAATACTTTTCTCAAAATTTCTAGAAATTATTCTAGAGTCTCTACATTCTCATATATGAGAAAGGATAATTTAAGATACTTACTATTAGGAACATAAAACATTTAAAATTCTGTGATATTCAAATTTCAGAGACTCACATTATCTTTGAGCTTGGTGTCACACATCTGCTTGCATTCAAGAACTTTCTTGACTTCAAACTTGCCTTTAGGTATCATGTTGTACATGAATGATCATATTTGATAGTATCCTAAAAGCTTTCAGCAGTTTTATCCTGTAGAATGATCTGCAGCTGAATATTTGAAAAGTGGCTAGAGAGGAACTGAATGTTTAATATTATAGATTTCAGTAGCGACATGTAGAAAGTGGCTGCTGTCTGGGGTCGCTCGGGAAAGCGTCCAGACTGCGTGGGGTTTGAGACAAGCATATTCTCAAGCATTTGCATTTACTCAAGAAGAGGGGCGGGTGGGTGGTTCTGTTTGAAACATCTGCTGGCACTTCAAAGTGTCAGTAAATTGCCAGGTACATAATTGATTTTTGGATACCTTCCAGTAATAAACTACTTTAGGGAGCATATTCATCTTTATTCATATTATCTTTGTCTGAGCATTCTACCTATCCAGTTGTGTTATTACCATTGTCTGTTTACCTGTGAATGACACAGTCTCACTAAACCATAAGCTGTCCATCTGCATGTCCATCTGCTAGCACACATCTGGGCACTCGCCTGGTTTCTCATTTTTTTTGTTAAAATAGTCCCAGGTCCTCAGACTTCAGATTTTTGCTTTTTCTCTTACTATTTAAAATTCTCGCATGTGTATCCTGACTCTGTTCTACTATCATCCCAGAAGAGTTAAGAGTTGGTAAGAAAGTTCCGTTGTTTAGGATGATGATTTATAGGCATCACGGTATAGAGAGCGGTAAGCCATCTTTTTTAACCAAAATGAATGAGGAGTGCCGTGGCTGGGTGGCTCAGTTGGTTGGATCATCATCTCCTACACAGAAAAGGCTGCAAGTTCAATTCTTGATCAGGCCACACATCTAGGTAGCGGTTTTGATCTCCTGCCTGGGTGCATGTGGGAGGGAATTGACCAAAGTGTCCGTCTCTCTCTCTCTCTCTCTCTCTCGCCCTCTCCACCCTCCTTTTCTCCCTACTTCTCTCTCTAAAAATCAATAAAAAGATGAAGGTTAAAAAAAAAGATGAATATGGAATTTCTAAGTGGTAGTTAGGATTAGACTCAGCCATAAGTGATAAAAGTTCCAAAATAATAGTGGCTTAAACAGAGTAGCAGTTTAGTTCTCTGTCGCATGGAAGTTCTGGTGGGGTGTTCTGCTGGTGGTGCATGTCACAGGGTCCGAGACCCAGGCTATTTTCTCTTGCTCCCCCACCTGGTATGACCTTGACCTTGTGATGTGACATAGGAGCATCCATGTTCGCAGGATCGGATTGGATGAAAGGACTGAAAATGAGAGAGAGAAGGGTTCCCCGTGCTGCTTCTTAAAGAGCACCCCAGACGCTTCCATGTTTCTGGTTCATCACTGGGAAGGCTTGGAGATTTTTTTTTTAATTTTGGGCAGTTCCCCACCTGAAATTTTATTACTGTAGAAGAAATGAGTAAAAGACATTGGGGGACAACTAGTTATCTCTGCCATGTAACTTTTAAAGGAATCTTGTGAGAAATTGAATTAATAGTGTTTCCTCCTCTTTGTGACTTTCAGGTCTTCTCATTTCCTCACTGAAATGATTTGTGTACTTTAAAACGCCATCCTAATTTCATTGCCATCCCACAGGAAGGTGTTATTCGTTTTTTCCCCTTTTTTATGTTTCATTTGGGTTCCCCCCCGCCCCCATCATTGATCTCTATGGTCAGCATTTTTTTCCTCCCTTTTAGTTGTTAATCTCCAATCATGGACATAGATTTAAATATATATTTTACTCAAAAGTTTTTAAGTCAGAAATCAAAATTTCAAAACTAGCTCCTGCTGTCATTTCCCAAGATGGCCCATTGAGCTGAAAGGGCTAAAGAACTTAAGTTGTTCCTTTTACCTCCTTGGTTTTGTTTTTAAAATAACCTTGGCTGGTTGTTTTTAACTGACTGCTCTAACTGTGTAACCCAGTGATCTTCCTCCTGAAACCTTTTCATTTATTGAAAAAATATTTATTGTACACCTGTGAGCCAGATGTGTGCAGGTGCAGTGAGAGTGAGTGCCTGGGGTCTGGCGTGGTGTGGGTCCAAGGAGGCTTTTATCTGAAGGACCTGCCAGGGGTGCAGAGTGGAGTGGGAGGGCAGCCCTTGAGGCCGAGGGGCAATGGTAGAGAGATGAGCAGGGTGTGAGGCGTTACTGCACAGAAAGGCGGGGCTTCCGAGGCCACAGTGAAGATTCTCAACTTTAAGCAGAGTAACAAAATAAGAAGGGTCCTTAGTAGGCATGTGAGTGAGGTTACAGTGAAGGCTCACACATACTGCACCCGTTCCGATGCCCCTCTGAAGGGCCACACTGGAACTCAGGTCCTGTATTGATGCGCATAGCCCTCTATTCATGTTCCCCTGGTCATGAGATTCTGAGTTTGAAAAACACTACCACTATGTGCTTATAAACAAGTCAATCTTCTAAATGAATGGACACAAATTTACTATATACTCTGCCTCCACTTCTACTGAGCCACCTCCATCTCCTCATCTTTCACGTGTCATCACCATCATCAGCATTTGTATTTCTATCATCGTTGTATCTCCAGCCAATGACTCTCTAGTGCACAACAGAGTATATAGTAAATTTGTGTCCATTCATTTAGATGATTGACTTGTTTATAAGCACATAGTGGTAGTGTTTTTCACACTCAAGGAAATGCTATCATCTATATAGTCCTTCATTTCTTCACTTGATCTCCTCCTTCTTGATTGTTAGATGTGTTTTTCTCTCACTTTTGACAAATCCTTGAGCAGAGTTATTTTAAACGTTGAGAGCTGGCAATAGAAATATTCCCGGCACTTAGTTATTTATGTAACAAATGTTTACTGAGCTGTGATGTGCACAGTGAGCAGCATCCTTTCATGCAGCTGCATCCCATGGGGGGAAACAGCTCAACCACGGACAGTGGAGCAGCTGGAATGGCAGCGCTGTGAAGGAACGAAGCAGCAGAAAGCAAGAAAACTTGGTGGGAAGGGGCCTTTCAGCATCTTGCTTTCTGCCTTTACCCATGGAATGCTCTAAGTCAGTGATGGCGAACCTTTTGAGCTCGGCGTGCCAGCATTTTGAAAAACCCAAACTTAACTCTGGTGCCGTGTCACATATAGAAATGTTTTGATATTTGCAACCATAGTAAAACAAAGACTTATATTTTTGATATTTATTTTATATATTTAAATGCCATTTAACAAAGAAAAATCAACCAAAAAAATGAGTTCACGTGTCACCTCTGACATGCGTGTCATAGGTTCGCCATCACTGCTCTAAGTTGTCTCAAATATAGGGATGAGCAAAAGTCAGTTTACAGTTGTAACATAAATATATAATGCAATAATGAGTAGACAATAATACAAGAATACACTCTGCTGCCCGGTTGGTGTGGCTCAGAGGTTGAGCGTCAACCCACGAACCAGGTGGTCACAGTTCGATCCGGTCAGGACAATGGCTTGATCCCCAGTACGGGGTGTGCAGGAGGCAGCCAATCCCTAATTCTCTCTCATCACTGATGTTTCTATCTCTCCCTTTCCCTTCCTCTGTGTGACAATCAATAAAAACGTATCTTTAGAAAAAAGATTAAACTCTGCTTTGCATATTCCTAACTCTAAATCTACTTTTGCCCACACCTGTCTGTTACCGTTTGAATTGTACAGGGACCAGTACCTCTCTGAGAGAGAAGTGGATCCAGACACCAGCAAACCTAAGGAGTGTTGTGTTTTTGTTTGTTTGCTTTGTTTTTTTTAAAGTGACGCAATGGAAAAATTCTTTCAAATTGTGTGTTTAAGTGGCTCTATTAATATTTGTTCTTGTCTGGTAACCCATGGTAACATTTTTGTCCTGCTTTATTTGAAGGCTCTTGAGATCTGTCACCAGAGAAACTTTGTAGAAGAGACAGTTTATCTTCTAAGTAAGTAGTTTTCTCTCATTTTGGTCCCCATAAACTAAGAAACGGGGTGAAAATGTGATATAAATTGTCTAAGAATTGGCATAGGTTTTAGAGCAAAGTAATATAGAGGTTAAAACCTCCTTGTATAAGAATTTAATACATGAAAAAGGAGGCTTCACAGCTCAATAGAGAATGAAGAGTTATTTAATAAATGCTGTTGAGGTATCATATTAGTATTGGGTAACAAACACACACATCAGCTTATATTACCACCATCTTGATAGAAAATAAATAATGTTCATTTTCAAAAATCACACTCTAAATAATGGAGGAAATGCAATTGAATATCATAGTTTTCAAAAGAAAGGGAGAGTTTGTAATATGATCCAGCTGTCAGTTGTCCCTGGTCCTCTGGCTCCTATTTCCACCTTTCAGTTGTCTTAGAAGCAGTAGAGAACTTACAAGGGAAGCATAGTATCCCTTTTAAGTTATAAAAACTTAAAAATCATATACACACTTTTAAAATTAGCCATTTTTAAAGATATGAACTGTGGAAATATTTGTAGGAAAAGCAAAATGCTATAGAAAATATAACAAATGGGATGTAATTTTACTCACAGGCCAGCTGTTTGCTTTAATAATGGCTGCCCTGAGTGAGTAGGACTCAAGACCCATTACTAGCTCTTGCGGCAGGCCAAGGCAAGGATAAGGGCAATTGCCCACAGCCAGACAGTGGCTGTACTTGCTCTGAGTAAAGCTTTCTACATGTATTATACTAAAAACTCATGGAAATTGATAATAAAACCATTAAAATGCCAGTAAATGAATGAACAAAGTGTATAAAGATAATCAAAGTGAAGCATAGTTGGTAAAGAGTTATTTCATGAGAGTTACTGAAAGGGTTTCCCCTGAACGGGGAAGAGAAGGAAAATGAGGTCACTGTCTGATCATTGAGGTTGTGGTTGGCACACAGTGTATCTTTAAAACTGCCTAATAAACTAGATTGATTGTTAATATGAATTAATTAGATTCATTACTTAAATTTAAAAAGATCATTTATTTGTTTACTTACTTATTTTATTTATTTATTTTTATTGAATTTAATGGGGTGACATTTATCTTCTGTATAATAAAAGCATAAGCAACCGTTACGGTGGAACGACCAGAATGACCGGTCACTATGATGCACACTGACCAACAGGGGGCAGATGCTCAATGCAGGAGCTGCCCCCTGGTGGTCACTGTGCTCACACAGGGGGAGCGCCGCTCAGCCAGAAGCCAGGCTCACGGCTGGCGGGAGCCTCTCCCACCTCTGTGGCAGCGCTAAGGAGCAGCGAGCCAAGCGGTAAGGAGCAGTAGCAGGCAGACAGTAAGGAGCGAGGGCTCCTGGATTGCGGGAGGACACAGGCCGGTCTGAGGGACCCCCTCATCCCCAGTGCACACATTTCGTGCACCAGGCCTCTAGTATATATCTAAGCCTAAGTGACAGTTATAGCGGAATGACCGGAACGACTGGTCACTATGATGCGCACTGACCACCAGGAGGCAGATGCTCAACGCAGGAGGAGGGGGAGAGGGGCTCAGCAAGGCCTGGAGGCACATGCTATGGCCCAGGGATCCCAGGAACCGCAAGCCCAGAGCTTGCTTTCCAATAAAAAAGAAAACACATCTTTTTTTGAAAAAAAGAAAAGCGGCCAGACACCGCCGCCCTGAGAAGAGCGGCTCCAGGAGGAAAAGGCCTCCCCAGGCCAAGCCCAGCCTGGCTGGGCGCAGCAGAGAACCATGCACTGACCATGGCGGCACCACCTTCCTCTCCCCCCCTCGCCCTCCCTCACACCCCTCTGTCCCACTGCTTGCAGCAACTCACCGGTGGTGTGCAGGAAACCCCTTCGACTCCAAAGCCGGTTGTGCCGACAGCTGCTCCCCATCCTGCTCCCCATCCTGCTCCATGGTGGACACAGTGCTGCCAGGCTGCTCTGCGTCAGCTCCCTGCCCACTCCTTTGTATACTACATGCACTTGGGGGCGTGGCGTCAGCCTCCTGGCCAATAGTACTGCAGCACAGCCAGCGTGTGGTAGGACACAGCCACCAGGCTGGCTGGGCATTGATTTGGCCGGGTGACTAATGTCCATGTCCAGGTACACTGATTGTTTACATTTGTAGGGAAGCAGGGCAGCCCGCTCCTGCTGCCCGCGTCACTTCTAGGCTAAGAAAGGCCCGCTGATCTCCGTGTTCCTCCTCCTGTCCGGAATCAAAACCTCTTGAGGATGAATGATCCCAACAATGGTCCCAGCACACGCTTGGTGTCATTTCGCAGACATTCCCAGTCTTTACAGCCCGTTCCTCAGCCCGCACTGCCCTGCTCCACCTCCTCACCTTTCACTCCCTGAGGACCACCTTATGTTATCCTATTTGAAATGTGGGCAATGCCCCCCTGTCCTTTTTCTTTCAATAGCTCCCTTGCCCTACATTTCTTCCTCTAAAAACCTTGCATTTTAAATGTATATATTTGATTAATTTCGGAGAGGGAAATAGAGATAGAAACATCAATGATGATAGAGAATCATTGATCAGTTGCCTCCTGCAAGTTCCAAACTGGGGATTGAAACCTCCCATGGCTCCTACCCCTGGCCAACAAATCTCCCTCAGTCCCTCCCCTGGCCAGCCAGCCGGGTGGCAGCACAGTGGTGAGGGAAGGAGGAACAGGGGAGGCAGGAAACTGTGTGGTGGCATGGCCCCGAGGGTGGCTGGCATTTGTTCCACGCCCAGCCCAGCAACCGTCACCTCCTCTAGGGACCCCACCTGTGCACAAATTTCGTGCACTGAGCCTCTATTTAGTTAATAAAATTATATAAGTTTCAGGTGTACAGTTCTGTTATATATCATGTGTATATTGTGTTGTGTGTTAACCACCCCAAGTCTAGTCTCCTTCCGTCACCATTTATTCCCTCTTTCACCTTCCCCCAACCCCTTCACTTCTGGTAATCACCATACTTATGAGGTTGTTGTGGGGTATTTTTTAAAATTTTGTTTTCTTTTTTGTTTCTGCTTCATTTCTTCACTTTTTCTTACCCAATCCTTTAAAAGTCTTAATTGTATGTGGGTATGAGGGGTTCACATTCAGGCCTGTGAGAAGCAAGTCAGCATCTGACATACCCGGGTTTGAATTCCAGATCTGCTGTTTAGTAGAAACATTTCTGTGTCCTCTTCTATAAAATAGAAATATTAGTGTGACATATCTCATTGGACTTTAGTAATAATGAAATTATGTCATTCCTGTGAAGCACTTAAATGAGTGCTCAGAACACAGTAGACACCTAGCAAATAGGAGACATTTATTTTATTATGTTATGCGAATGTCACGTAGGAAAATATGCCTTTGTGTTAGCTTTAAAACTGGGTGAATAAATTCAGAGATATCCTATTTCTTTAACAATGTTTCATTAAAATGTCCTGAATGAAGTATTTCTCACATCTTTGCTAGGCCGAATGGGCAATAGCCGAAGTGCCCTGAAGATGATCATGGAGGAATTACATGATGTTGATAAAGCAATTGAATTTGCCAAGGAGCAAGACGATGGAGAGCTCTGGGAAGACCTGATTTTATATTCCATCGACAAACCACGTAAGCAGAAAAACCATCTGCGATCATAACTCTTTTCTCTCAATATAGCCAGTTATGTCTAGAGTAAGAATTATCTCAAGACACAGTAAGTTAAAAATATGGTCAAGTATCTATATAAAGATAGGCCAGGCACACCGAAACGCTTTCCAATGCCAGTCCTGTGCAGAGCAGCGTGGAGTCCCGTCACTTTGAGTTACCTGAATGTGATAAAGAGCATGTGGCTCACCTGGTAATATTCACTTGTCCCCATGAAGCACACTTTTACCTACTGCACCAGGAATTTACTGATTGGCCCTCCGCTTGACCATTGTGTTGGGTCTCCCATCTTGGAAAGAAACAAAAGCAGTCACCTACCGTATTTGCCGGCGTATAAGACGATTTTTTGGCCCTGAAAAATATGCCTCCAAGTGGGGGGTCATCTTATACGCCGGGTACACTTCAGATAGACTGCCCATAGTGCTTGCCCCGTGTCATAGTGGCCTCCCGATGCCCGCCCACTTCATTCCACATACCGTTCAGGCATCAGCAGCGCTGCTGGGTGTATGC